ATGATGGATTTTCTTCTCCTCTGTTTCTTTGGGGAAAGGTATGATGAAGATATTCCTACTTTGTCTTCTGAAGATAATGTAGGGTATGGCTCTTCCTGGCTACCAAGGTGGGTCCCCAAAGAAGAGACAATCTTTGGGATCACATGACATTTCTGTGTTCAGGCTTTGTGAATCAGTACCAGAATCTCAAACCAGACATTTCTGGCCACAGAACCAGTATATTTTGTGGTGCCCTGATCTACTCAGGAGGTGAGCACCAGTGTTGTCTATGAGCTGCAGAATTTTGTTTGCATTAAGGCAGACGGAGTTGCCAGCTTGAGAGCGCTAAATGTTTTAAGTCTGCTGCAGTGCCATTATTCCTACTATTGCTCCTGTTGCTACTACTGCTACCACTACTAGCATGATCCAAGAGATGTCATCAGTGCCTTCAGGTTTGTGTTCATCAGTGAAAAGTCAAATTTTGCTTTAAGAAAAAATAAAATCTTTTTAGCCAACTTCAGGTAACAATATTTAAAAGTACCCACTGCCTTAAAAAAGCTGAATAGAACATTACACTTACTAGATTCTGCATAATTTTCTCTTTGCCAGAAAATTTAATTTATCAATCACATATACACCATTCTGAATTAAACCCAGTATTTTCTCAATATTGCTGCTCTCACTTACATTAGACATTCTTTCATCATTTTAGTTCTGTTTCTGTAGTATATTTTATCCTTCCTAGATCTATGTCTAGTCTTCTAATGTGTCAAAACTAATCATTATTAGAGAAGTATGATGAGTGCTTTCTACTTTTCTTTAAAAATGTACCAGAATAGACAGTTGGTTGAACTTCCTAAGTATTGGCTTGCCTCACAAGGTCTTGAAAAGTTGTCAAAATGAGAAAAAAGCGTTGCTATTGTACTGATTAAGATCCATATTTAATATTGATGATGCAAAAGCATAGACATTCATTCTAATCCTAAGCTAGGTGAAGATTTCTGTTCTAGATCATGAAAACATGTAAAATTATTCCATTTTTTGGTAAAATCCTTCACCCTTTTAAAATAGTCCAGGCTGTCTCTGGGTTAAATTCTTTACTCAGCTTTCAAAATAGTAACTGTTTAACTCTACCAGTCTAACTTAAAAAAAAACCAAAACCCAAACCAAAACAAAAAAAAACCAAACAAAAAAAAAAACCCAAAACCCCCAAACAAAAACCAAGCAAAAACCCAAAAAACAACCAAAACCACAAAAGACTGTTGATGTCAGGACTGTTATTCTGAATGTCATTCAGGTAGAATTTATTTTCATAAAGCTGTATTAAAAAGCTGTCTTCTTAAATAGGGGTTTTAAAGTTTGCCCACAGAAATTAATGGAAGAGAAGATTCAAGACTTCATACTATCTGTTGATAGGGACTTCTGTAAGTTCACAGAGGACTTGCTGGTGGAGGGGCTGATACTCAATGAAATTGATTCACTTTACAGATATTTAGTATTCTGGCAGAAGAACTATTTATTCTGGGAAAAGTCTCAAGTGTAAGAAAGCAAGTCCCTAACGTAGGTGAATCAGAGCAATGTTTCTGCTTCAGTTATGCCTTAAACCACTAAGCATTCACTTTGAAAAATCTACTCTTGAGACATAATGCTAATAGCACACAGAATGGATCTGGCTGTTTTATAATGTGCAGGCCTGAAATATATGTCAGCACTGATTGTCTTAAAACTGGTAATGTGCCAAACTCCTGCAAGAAATTTGTCTAATTAACAAAAATGGACTACTAAAAGGACCAGTTATTAGAGTGGTTTGGAGATTGCAGGTGAGTTGTACACCTGAAAAAGATTGGCATTTGTATTTATTTTATAATAAAATAACAAAACCAAACCTAAAAAGAAAAAAATGTTTGTAAGGTCCCTCTTAATTCATTCTCATCCTGTTCCCCCATTATAAAGTGTGCTATTGTCTTGCATGCACATCTATGTAGTATACACAATCTGACAAACTTCAAGACTGTTTTGGTAAGTGGTGTTAATACTTCCCCTATTAGCATTTTGTAGTGAGTAGGCTGTCAATATGGAAATTTGCTTGCAAATGTCAATGATCCCATGAGGTAACTGCTTCCCAAAAAATACTAATAATACCTTGTGCATTAAGAACTCTTTTGAACTGGTAAGGTATTTATGAATTCTTTGTACTGCCAAGCAGCTGCAGAACAAATAAAGGTAAACTTTCTGAATCTCCATGAAATCTCTGTGAAAATAATGCAAATTTAACAGACTAGAGTAAGACCACACTGGGTAGTAGTGACAGGCATATAGGAGGACACATTCAAGATGGGGCAAAGAGGTCTGATACACTGTACTGAAACAAAAGTGTTTACCATTTTTTCACCATACATTAGACTAAAAATTTTGATTTTCCTTCCCCAGTAACTATTCCAAACATGCCAGATGTGCAGAACAGTTCTCTATCTCTGGTACCCTCTGCCCTGTGCTCTTCCTGCTTTTTTGCTCCCTTCCTCTTAGATATATTATGACCCCTTATAGCTTTGAAGATGGCCCTGCTTTGAGCTGGAGACTGGACCAGTGACCTCCAGAAGTCCCTTTCAACTAAGATTTTTCAGTGATCCTGTGATTATCTGATAATCACAACTTTTTTTGCCTTCTGGCAAAAGCTTCTTCGGGATTTCTCTAGTATTAAAATCTTCAATTCCTTCACTACAGTTAATGAATCCACTCCCCAACGGATTTATTTGTCCTTAACCCTTTACTGTGATCTCTGCCTTCTGTCTCCTTTCTATGCTTTTGTGTGCTCTCTCTTTGTCTCCTTGGTGTTCTTCCTTTAATTTATACCACATGCTAGTTCACATATCTCACAAACTATGTGCGAGAGCCTCCTGAACAAAGCCTCAAGAACAAAGCTCCTTTGAGTCGTAGATCATCTCTAGATCATCTATTGCTAGATATCATGTTCTGTAATTGTAATTACAGGATTTTTGTAATTGTATTGTCTGATGACATTGACAGAGGAAGTTACCTAAATGAGTTTGCAAGATGTATTTCAGTAAGCAATACGAAATATTCAATCTCTACTGCTTGTGCTGTTCTGGACAATCTCATGATCTACCTCCACGGAAAGATCAAACATCTTTTTGTGTTAATACTCATACTGCAAAGGGTCTCCTGGAGAGAAGATTGCTTCCTTCAGTAATAGGAGTAAAGGTAGGTGAATGGTTCCTTTCTCCCAACTGCTTAGTGAACAGCCAAGTGTCATTCTTCCTCAACTTCATATATTCCCAGCATTTTAACATTCCTCAAAGTTTTCCACTAAAACTGTTTTCTAGATAGCAATAGAAAGCCTCAGTCTTGCATGAACACAATTGAGATAGCTTACTTTAGTCCCTTAGTTTACCTATTGTAAAGATATTCATAGTTTTGGGGTGAAACTGAAAGTACCAACAGTCAAGGAAAATTTCAGCAAGAAAATGGAATTTGCAAGTCTATAAATGTCTTCTGAGTGTGTTCTTATAACTTCTAATGCTAATGTTAATTGGGAATAGAGGTTGCAATATTATCTAAGTTAAGTCTTCCTTTTCTGCTGACTTTTTTGATCTTCTTTCTATTCCCATTTTATGGGGATAACTAAGTTCCAAAAGTGAATTAAAATAATCAGGTGAACATAGAGATATTAGTTAAAAAGAGAACTTCTAAACCCCACGCTCTTTGACTAGTATCCCAGGTGAAACCAGAGAAGGAGAAATCTCTCACTTTGACAAAAGAAACTTCAACATTCTCAAATATTCTTTCATTGGGAGGCTACATTACCAGTGTCTTTGAATCTAAATATGTGTCTAATCAATGTTTTTCAGAATTCTGAGGAGAGACCATTAAAGGTGTGACAAATCTAAGGCATTTTACAAATGACAGAAATATGATGTAGATTAACTAAGATCAAAATAACCAAGGCAAATGAGTTTTAGACTACTAATGTTTCTCTTTTTTTTTTTTTTTTTCTTCTCATGAGCACACACAGGGACATGCACTTTCAAAATGTCAATCTGTAAGACCCCATTCTTCCATCTTGTTGCATTTGAAAGATTAACTTTGCTATCTTCTACTGATAGTTTCATTTAGTTGGTGAAAGTAAAATGAAGTTTGTCATCTAGATTGATACTTATACAGACTTCAGAAGGTGTATTTTAGCTAATTATAAAAAGTTTTAATATATAATTATTTCAGCAAAATAAAATTTTCTTAGCATTTAGTAGTAAGAACAAGGGAATTATGGATTAAAAAAATTGGGGTTTTTCCCATTTTATGATGGAAAGTGTATTCTCATTGAAAGGATTCTATTTATTATGCTTTTTAAGGGTGAACTCTTTTTGAAAGTGAGCTCTCATGCAAGTACAGATCACAGCCTAAGACACCATTATTTAAACATTGTTTTCTTACTGGTATGTCACTGCTAAAGCAAGACTCATTAACTACTTTGTGTAATAACATAATAACTTGTGGGGAAGCTGAACTCAAGCTTGGGAAAGGTTTATATGTGCCTATGCATTCATATTTTCCTATTATTTTGGTATTTTGTTTCCTAAACTCTTTAAGGGACTGAGAAATTTTTAAAAATATTTTTCGTATTAGATTTTATTCAATACTGTGATGACACTTTCACATTTGTTACAAAGGAATTGATCATTTCTTAGCATACAGTGTGACGGTATGCGATAATTCCAACAGCTTTCTCCCACTTCAGTTCCAGAGTAACTTGCACTTTTATTGATATGATATAACAGTGACTTAAGGGTCATACTATGCTTTCCACTCTTTTTTTAAAATTATTTTTTGAAACAGTTAATGAAGCACAGAAAACAATATCTTTCAGTATCTTGTTTCCTAAATTTCTGCAGCTGTATTTAGTTCTCATCCAGTTACTGTGTTAAGAAACCAGGTTTAAATTGAGGATGTCACGGAATATTGAATATTTCAAAAGGGTTAATGCCCCCTTGTGTATTTTGCAGACAATCCTGGGCTAGTGAGCCACGTTCCAGTTGGTGTTAGAATCCTGGACATCAATGACAACCCTCCAGAGCTCGCCAGAGAGTATGATGTAGTTGTCTGTGAGAATGCAAAGCCTGGTCAGGTAACTCTCACAGTTGTCTTTCTCCCAGTGAGAAAGAAGAATTACTTTGTTTGTTAATGCCACATAGGTAAGAAGTTTGATTCGGGGAACACATGTCATAATTCTTTCCGATTTCATTTTCGTATTTCACATTTGCTTCAACTTTTTAACTGTATTAGGTTGAAGGGAGAAGATTTGGGAATTTGTTCAATATATCTTTCTTGTTGCTGCAAAAAAATACCCAAACTATCTTCAGTAAAGACAGTCAAAACTTTAATCTTGTCAGATAAGTGATGGAATTTGACAAGTCACTATCATGAACAAAATGGATGAAGCAGATTTAACATCTCTCATCTAAGTGCCACATGGTAGCAAGGTTTCAAATACAGCTCGGTGAAATGGCTGGTTAGCGTGGCTGCCATCCTCACTTTTTGCATGTTGATTGCCCTTGTCTGTACAGGGTCATTATGGAAAAGATGTTGAAAAGCTTTTTCACAGCAATGAGCATGGGAAGGGTCAGAACTGAGGCTGAATAGCAGAAACATTCCAGCTGCTGCTCCTGTGATCGATGCACTTCATTGCAGTGCATGGATTGACAATTTTACCAAGTGCCTTTGCTTTTTTGCATAGATCTAGCTTTTACCCAGCACTCTATGCTGGTTTTGCATTATTACACAGGTTGTAAGTTGCAATTTTGAGCTCATATCTTTCCTGAGGAATATATTAGTAGTAGTAACAATTTTCTCATCAAATCTTTAAAAGCAGTATAGATAAATGCATAGTGGCATATTTCTATTTTTAACGTTGAGACTATAGAAATGCTGTACTTCATCAGACTATAGGCTGACCAAAGTTATCTTGACTCTAACAGTGACCAAAAGCTGACACTTAAAGAGCAGTGTAAGAACATGGAAAGCGTGTATGATACTTAGCCCAAGTACTTCTCTGGTCTCAGATCATTTGCAGATCATTTCCTGATCCAAATGTGGTTTCTGTGTTTTTAATAATCCTTTAATAACCATCTTATATGAATCTGTCTAGCTTTTCCTACAACAAACATAAACTTTTGATATCTGCTACCTCATGCGGCAAGGAATTTTACAGTGTAATTGCATGTTTCAGGAAGTCCTACCACCTTCTTTTTATTCTTTTTTTTTTTTTTTTTTAATCTTCCCATGCTGTCTTCAATCAATACTTACTAGTTCTTGTGTTGGGAGAGAGAGAGAGAAAGAGAGAGAACAGTTGATCCCTATTTACTATCTCTGTGCCATTCATAAATCTCTAGCACGTTGCCCCTCAGCTGTCTCTTGTCCCGACTGAAGAGTCCTACTTAACTTGGACAAGCCATGATAAAGTCCTTCTAGACTTTTGATCATTCATCTTGTCCTCCTCTAAACTTTCTCCAGTTCCTCTCTATTCACCTTGACATGGGGAATCAAGATTCAAGATGCAGGTATACGGTAGTTTATAATTCTTATCATAGTTTATGCTCCATAGTATAGGATGATCTCTGCCTTGTTCTCTATTCCTTTCCTAGCAATTCCTAACAGCGGCTTTGCTTTTTAACCACTAGTAAGCACCGAAGGCAAAAAACTGCCTGCCATAACACCAATATCATTAGAAGTAATAGTCAGCTCAGAGATCATCATCATGTATGTGAAGTTAAGACTTTATGTCTATGTATAATGAATTTCACCTGTCTTTGTATTGCCTGGCTACTGAGTATTGGAAGTCTTTAGTGTCAGCCCTTCCTCTTTTCTTCTTTGAACAACTCAGTATCATAAGTAGATTTGGTGGGCTGATTATTCATACTCTTTACAAGACTTCCGTTATTACACTGACCAAAAAGTGGCCCAGCATAAATCTCTGTGGAACAGGAAATCTCTGCGACTTCCTTTCCTTGTGGAATAGACAACTTACAAAAGGGACCCTATTTCCTGTCTTTTGAGCAATTATTTGTGCAAGGACCTTCCTCTTATCTCATGACTGCATAGTTTTCTTCAGTGCTCTTATTGAGACACCTCATTCAAAGCCTTTGAAAATCTAAGTAGGTCTGTCTATCAACTGAATATCTCTTATTAACATGCTTATTAAAGTAAAAATAATGTTCTGAAAACCTCAAATAAAGCCAAATATAGAAGAATTAGAACTTGTAAAAGACTATTTTTTAAAAAAAAGAAGTTAAGATCTCTTAAGCTTTAATTGCAATTGCTTTCAACATATTCTGATATTTTTAAAATTATATAACTTAAAAATAATTGTTAAATAAATGTTATAAATAATAATAAGCTAAAACATGCAATGAAGCTAGCTCAGAAATGCTCTGTTTGCTGGGGGTGATGTTGATGGTGAGTAGCTAATGTTTCCTATTAGCAAAGTTTTAACTTTCCAATAGTAGCTTTGCAAATGGAAATTTATGAGAGAGATGTTTAAAGGATAAAATAAGTTTTACTGTAACAGCATTTGCTCCTGATTTGGGTAAGCGTTGTATTTCTCTCTGAGCTACTGTAGCAAGTGTGAATGACTCCTGACCTCTGTAGCATTGCAGTTTAACACCCAAGATTAATGCTACCATGAAGGACTCTACAAGCAGTAGTTTAATATGAAAGGCTAGATCAGCATGCTGTTGTATTCTTAAACTAACAGGACTCCATTATGTACATGACATAGCACAAATTTTTATTTGCATTGCACAACAAGGCTTCAGAAAAGATTGTGATACCATTGCACTGTACAAAAACCAAAACCAAAATGAAACACAAAACTACATGGCTCTTACTCAGAACATCTTACTGTCTAGTTTAAGAAAGAAAATGACAGTGTTCAACAAATATTAAGGAGGGACAAATAAACAAGGATTACAGAACAAGACAAGTGTTCCATATGCTAAAAAGCGTGTCCAGTTGGATGGTTTTGAATCACTGAAAAGGCAGTATTTACTCTGAGCTATCCGTCATCTTGTGAGAATGGTTCGTAAGATTTATCGCTAAAGAACAAATTCTGTCAGGTCCCGCCAGGCACTTCTGCTTGACTAGTGCATTGAAGTTGGGCTCCAGCCCTGCACTGCCCTGTAAGAGTCCTTATTTCTTTTCTCAGCATATCTATTTTGAATTTATTATGTGCAAGATAAACTAACCAATAGTTTGTCATTGGAAGACTTTTTGTGTTTGCTTGTTTATTTTCAGAAGAGGCTTCTATGGAGAGAAATCACAGTACCATTTAGTTGCACAGCCTGTCTCCTGCTTCTTTTTCCCTCCACAGCTCAATTTATTTACTTTAAAAAAAAAAAAAAAAAAAAAAAAAAGCCAATAAAACTTAAGGACTTAAGTGCTTAAATGAACCCCCCCTAAGGCATCTCAAACAGAAAATGCTTGTGAGAAGATTATAATTTTCACATTGAAGTGACAGCTTTATTCCCTTAGCAGTCACCTTGTTGAGAAGATAAACTAAGTATCTCCAACAGCTTCCAGGTGAAGCCTTGTAGATACTGTATATTAAAGTAAATAAAGCAGTTATGATTTGATCTTAGATGGTATCCAGACTTGGAGAACTCTGACTTCTAGAAATACAGTGATTTTGTGAACGATTGTGAAATTTAGCCAATGTAGGAAAATGAAATTTTGCAATCTTCCACAAAGTGAACTTACAAATGAAATTTTCCTTTGCTTCAAATACAACTTCTTTTATTATTCTTAAGACAATGGGAGCAAATAGCGATGTAAAAAAAAGTTTAAATGCTTTGTTCTGGAAAGTGAAAGAGTGAAGCGTTGACAGTTTTCGGAATGTTTCCAAATTCAGTGTTTGTCCTGGCAGAGTATAAACCTGTTAAAATATCTGACTAGATCTGCTAGTGATATAGCTCTCCAAAGATTACTTTTTTTCCGGGTGCTTTTCAGAGGAATAATAGAAAAAGTTGTGATAGTAGTGAAGTGTCATTTCCCTGACACTATCCATCACTGTAAATTAATCCACAGGTGTGTGTACGTGCGCATGTGCACACTCACAAACACACACAAAGAACTTTTTCAGAATCAGGGTGAATAAATATTGTGCTGCCAACATGAGCTACCTCATCCTGGATGCTGTTATTTCTAATAGCCAAAGGAAATCAATGTTAGCTGGCAAGGAACGCCTCTGCTATAATTTTGTCATGTGTATATTTACTTGTTTATTGATTCAGTTCCAAAAAAGATCTGAGTAGAATTTAGCACCTGCTCTCTATCCTCTTTAATTAGTTCTTCTCCATTCTTGAAATTCTTTCTCGTCTTGCCAACTCTTGCCTTTAAAAAAATAGCATAACCCTTCAGTTTCATTGCTTCAGTGCTGTCAAGTGAGCTTTACAGCAGGTGGGGTTCTGTATCTACATTTTTATTTTAATTGGCTTTGGTAAGGTGCATGTTAATCTCTGCTAATAGGCCATTAGTTGGCCTATTAATTAGAAAAGGGTTAACAGTACATTTGGTTGTCAAGAGGACACACACTTTTGTTCCTCACCTCTGAATTAATGTCTTAGAAATCTTTTCTTTAGAAAGCAAGAGCCTTTTCTGAAAGAATGTAAACTTTCTGTTTAAGAACAGTTCTGTCAAAAATATTTTGACCTGTCCTATTACACATACAATGTCTATTTTCCACATGGAAAAGCATGATTTCTATATCATCTGGTGCTATACTTTTTACATACATTAGTGAATTCAGGGGATACTTGAATTGCCATATGTGAAATCAGAGAATGTAGACAATATATTTTGTTGAGTTTTAAAATTAGTCTTCAAAACAAATAAATTTTATGCTAGTCTTGTGGCACTGAGGTCTTGATCAAAGGGGTTTTTTTGCAAAATGGCATGAAGAATCTTGAAGCAAGATTCTGTAAAATGTCACTGAATGTTTTATGTAAGAGAGGGCAACAGGATGAAAGTTTATCTACTAGGCTGTCAAATAAAAGCTGAAGGTGCATAACAAAACGACTTATATTTCACTGATAAACAGTACTGAGGAATTATAAACAATATTTATTAAATTCATATCTTTTTTTTTAAGATCTTATCTGAATTTTTTACAGCTATGTATAGTATTCAACAGTAATTTTAGTATTTGAGTAATAACAGAAACTGATTCTCTTGCAAATATTCTTCCTTTTTTTTTTCTTGCTTTGTCCATACCATTTCAACATTATTAACTAAATATATCTATCTAAGCTAATCTTATATTTCTGTTTTTACGTGGTAGTTTTTTCAATAATAGATATGCCACCTTTGCAAAATTCAATAAAGAACAATTAGGTTTTGCCAAACGTTTTCACCAGTATTGGCGTGACATTGGTAAACTGCATGATTATAGGCATTTCAGATTGATCTTATTCTGCTACACTTCAACAAAAAAGTATTATGACAAACTTTTAAAATATTCTCAGCAATTATCATCAGTATTGTTAATTGTCTTAGGTGTGTATAGTCAATATAATGTACCGTATTGTATATAGTCAATGAAATAAACATTGTACTCTGTTGGCTTTAAAATGTATTTGTTTTGCTTCTGTTATGTGAATGGAGGTAGAGATCTGTGTGTTGTCTTTTAGTTTTAAAACAGACCAAACCACTTGAGCCCGCACTGTTTATGCTTCAGGTTCAGTCCAGACAGACTACAGCTGAACACTGAACAGAAGAATTCTCATGAAAACGAGCATTTTCCCTCCCCCTTCTACGTTTCCCTCAGGATATCTATCAGCTCTGTGCAGCAGTCTGTGTAGGCTTCACTGCCTATATCACAAGAACAACTTTTATTAAATTCTGCTTTAGCACTTGAGCTTCCAGGCCCAGCATGAAAATGAAAGCAGAGGGAGAAATATTGCTTGGTCACACATTCCAAAAGCTTAGCTCGGTTTTAGTTGAAAGTAAATTTTAAAAACCACCAAGGCTTTCGAAGGCAGAGGTCCTACCTTTCAAAAATACCTTTCCCAGACATGGTTGCTACATTTAATTCTATTCCTTTTGGGCAAACCAAACTAAAACCACGAGTAGCTGCTGCTCTTCCTGTTCTGTTCTCCAGCAATTTAAAACTGATTCTTAACAGGAATTTTAAACAAAGAGCTGGTATTATATAGCTGCCATTTTGGTTAAACAATTATTTCTCCTAACCAATACTGAAGTGCATCTAATTATTCGGATAGCAAGCAGATGATGCTCCGCATAGACCATCCTGGTTCAGCTTGAATTTTGGCTTCGTAAAAACAGATGTTTAGGTGAAACTGTAATTCTGAAAGTCACCAGGATGCAATGCAGATGGTGAAAATCTCTGTACCAGGCCCTGACCATATCAGAATGTCAGAAAGTATAGATGTTTTAGATGCTTTTATCTAGCTCTGAAGTGTGGTTCCTAAAATATTTCATGCTAGAGAAATCAAGTTAATGGCCCAGTCATTTCATCGGTTGAATTTAGCAGCAGTCAAGTAGGAAATTAAAATAAACTAAGTTTGAGTATCCTGCTGAGGTCACATACTATTTGGGTCAAGTTCAAATTTCAGCACATTCACTGTTAATTTTTATTTCAGGTAATTCAGACTATTACTGCAACTGACAAAGATTACTCTGCAAATGGGGCAAGATTCCATTTTTCCCTTGATGAAGGGCTTTCTTTGAATCCAAACTTTACTCTAAGGGACAATGAAGGTAAATCAAACACATAAATCTCAAAGAAATGTGTCTCTGTTTTGTCTGGGGTGTCTCATTGAACAGAAAAATTTCCATGTGTTTCTTGACAGAAGGGGAAAACTGTAATCTGTCATTACTGAACTGGCTGATATCAAGGGCATAGTGTTTACAACATATTGCAAACTATGAATAATCAGATGTTGCATTTTGGTTTTGTATTCGATTTTATTTTAGCATTTATACTTCATACATTCAGGAATGTCTTCAAAAAATGGGATTAATGAAAAAGATGTTGGCAATTTGGTCTATTTCTAGGTGAATAGCACTGAGTGGGTACTGTCAAGGTTATTGAAGGTTATTGCTTAAAGGAGAAAATAAGAATTTAAGGGGCATAAATGTTGAATTCATGCTTACTTTTACGCATATGATACCAAGAGCCGGTCCTTCAGTGTTTCCTGGATGATAGTCTATCGTTTCATGCCCTTCCTAAGAAAGTGTGCCTAAAACGTACAATCAGAAATTCTTAGCAGATGATAGGCCCAGAAGGAAAAGGGCCTTCAGAATCACCCAACCAAGTGTTTCTGAACATTTCCTGAATCAAAGAACCCTCCAGCCTTTCAAAAAAATCACAAAATCAGCCTTACTATTTGTTGAGTATTGCCTCATGGTTTCCATTTTGCAACCTGATAAAAATGAGAATAAACTTTAAATGCTTGTCTGTAGCTTTCCTCTTGAGCTTTTGTGTATGTGTGTATTGTGTGGTTTTGTTTGTATGCACGTGTGGAAGTGGGGGGGGATTGGCTTTATTTTACAGTTATATGTTTACAATTATATTTTTGCAGTAGTGCCATGGAATACCTTCTGAGATCTTACAGATCACTATTCATCTGTAATGACTGAGAAGCATTAACTCCATCTTTGGTATATATGGCACATACAGTGATGTTTAAACTATTTACAGTTATTTTTTAGCTGTTTGTAAAACCTTTCAGGGAAGGAGATTGCATAATCTTCCTAAAGAATCTGTTCCAATGTTTAACTATACTTACAGCAGAAAAAAAAATCAACTATTTGTTCGGACTAGGTTCATGGCCCTCATATTGCGGTTCCAAGAGATCAATCCAATACCTATCAATATTAAAAACATAATAATATTTCAAGAACAATTAATTTATTAAAAATATTCCTTAAGTGATAACTCCAGCCCTTTCCCAGATTAGCATACCAATTCCACTCAGATTGTGATGGAGCATTATAGCAAAAGTCAGATGGTTCTTCCTGAAAAAGGAAGTGTACTGTTATGTATTTTTGTATTTGAGCCTAAGATTCAAATAAACTCATTGAGTATTGGACTGTGATCTCATGTGAGAGACCATGGCCATGTTCATTTCAGTACAAGATACTTACATCAACACGTGCTTTTGAATAATTCTATTAAAATTGTGGTTCATGATGAAGTAGATATTTTATGGTTTTGAACATATTTTTATCATGATCGGTATTATATGTGTTTATTACCAGCAGAAAATGCTGTGTTATACTTTAAGGACTGCATGTCAACATAAGTTATTTACCTACACAGATTTATAAGAGGTTGAGAACTTCTCATAAATCTCTAATGCGGCAGTGTCACGCTTTGGATATAAGTATGCAGCAGTAAGTATTTGCTACCTCCCCAAGAGCAGTGAGCAATGACTTTACCACCAACAGCAGAAGGCAGTGTTTAGACTATCCTAAAGTTGGATTTGGCAGGGGAAAGTAGGGAAGGGAACTGGAAAAGCTGTCCTTTAAGGTAAGGGCCTGTTGTGCATTATGTTTTTATTTCACCTAAGGAGATACAAAAAGTAAGTATGCACTTCCTGTAGCATCTCACATAAAACTTCTACACGTACAGAGACTCCAGAAATACAATTTCCAATTTGCCCATATAATTAATACAACGACAGTTTTACTCAAGTCATAACAAGAAATTTATTTTAAACCAAAAGCATTGTCACTATTTTGCTCGGCATATGACCCTTTGATTGTATTGTTTAAACACTGCCTTTTATTGGGACCTTTTCTTTGTGATATAATCTGTATGTAAAATATCAGTGAAACGCTTATAAAATGCATTCACAATATCCAGTTATCTAGCATTCACAACTTTCATATTTATCACTTATTCCTATTCAGAAATTGAATTTCTGTTGCTTTTTATTCTAGGAAATAGCTGAGAGATGGTGGGCAGAAGAGGCTTTTCTTATGACAAGTTTGCACTTTTGGAAACTCATGTTTTTGAGCATCAGCTGTTAAAAATAATCAGAATGCTATTTTTACCTCTGGATTTAATAATTTTATAAAGGCTGGCATTCTTGGAGGATTTTATTTGTTTGTTTGTTCTGCTATGGTTTTTAAAGAAAAAAACTACATCAATTGCCTTAAGAAAGTTTTCAATAATGTTTTGCAGAATGATAAAAAACAAAACCTTGATATCACATTAAAAATAGCAGTCAGTGGTAGTTGTATCTGTCACTGCAAAGTGATATTTCTCTTGCAGTCATCTTTGGATCCAGTCATCCTCTCCTTTTATTTCTTCAGGAGAAAGGTTTCATTTCACAAAAATCTCAGTAGACATTTTCTTGCCTTGTTTTCATAACCCCAAACAATAGAATTCTGTTCTTTGAGCCCCAATACAGTATTGAATTAATGTTCCCCTACTCCATTATCATCAGTAGAGCTACAAGATCAAAAGACTCTACAGCACTGAATTGGATCTTTAAATATTAATGCTTATATCTATGCACTTTGACTGAAATCTAAAGGACTTGCACAAGCATAAGATTTCATAGTTTGTCCCTATCTACCTGCATAGGCTGCAGCAATATACAATCCCAGAATGTGTATGATTCAAGTCAATAATATTCCATGGCTTCAGCAGAGGAAGTAGATATTAACGCATCAGTCCAGATAATTGATCATATGACCAGTTAAATTTTTACCTCTCGGGCCTGAACTTGTGCCTTTATTCAGGAACAATCCACAATGTTAAAGCCCCAGCCTTTGAATATGCACCCTAGTAATGCAGAGCTTAAAAGCCTCAGGGAAATGTAGGTCAGGAGACAGCCACAGGGCTATGCCAAATATGCAGTCCAGCAGAACCTAAGAGTTGCTTGGATCACTTTCTGGATTCTGTTGTTCATGATTTTCATTATAAAGAAAAAAATTGAAAAGATAGAATATGACACCTTTTTCCCTACTGACTGGATTCTTAAGCTACAGTAGATTTCTTGCTGCTATTTGAGTTTTTTTATATAGTGACAAAGTACTATTCAGAGGGAGTAAAGGCTTAAGAGTATGAACAAGAGTACAGCCAATAGAATGATGCAGTATCTGTACACATGTAAGCAAGACGGAACAAGAGCTGCAATAGAATTTCTTTGCTATACACAGAAAACACATTAAGTTGTAATCATTTCCTGCAATTTCAGAAAGCAAACCCAGGGAAAATGCCTTTTTGTTTGTTTGGGAATTGTACTTATGAAGGCTTTTTAATGAAAACAGGGCTGTTTACAATTTATTCTGCCCAGAAAAATGTTGCAATTTCTATTAAAACCTGAGCAGCCAAATACTTTTTTAATCTGGAACTGCTTGTATGTTACAGTTCAGATGCTACATAATTCAGTTCATTGTTGTCTGTGTTCTTGTCACTTTTTTTTTTAGGACGTTATCACAGATAATTTTGAAATGCTTTTTTCATTTGTGTGCAATGTCTTAAATTTACACTTTTTGCCTAATCAGAAATACCTGCTTTTGCTTGCCCATTTAAAATTTGCCAGGGCAATATGAGACTAAAAGCACCTTCTGTCAGGGAATCAGAGGAAAGATGAAAGAGCCTCTTCAGAACAGAGGCTGAAGCTGTTTCCAAGTACTGAATTTTAAAATTATACTTTTTTTTACCCTGAAAGAATCATAATATTTTTCCAGATGCTTAAAGAATTGTTGATATATTTGTCAAAATTTGTTAGTTTGATGGAAAATGCATGCGAGCATATGTCGTTATGATACCCCCAACTGTTAATATATAGACACATACTTGCATAGTCACTCTCTCTCTGTTTGAGTTTAAAAGATCCATTCCCTCTTTCTGCCTATTTTTTTACTTATTAGAGACCTCTTTCAGAAGTTATACCACACTTTTCAGGGAGCTGGTGAAAGTTTGAAGCCCAGAGGACAGTTCACTTAGGTGCAAGAGAATATTTATGAATTTTATGCACTATAAGGCACTGTTTTGCCAGTGGTATATTTTTTCACAAGATAGATATACAGTCTACCATGGATGCTCCAATGGGTATTGTAAATTTCCTGGAAAATAAGGGTTTGTACAGAGACTGTGCACATTCACCCAACACCGCCAATAAGATTTGTACACTCTCTTACCTTAAAAAATTGAGACTGCCAACTTCTGAAAGTAGACAAAGTTTACCTTACTTTCAAGGAAGAACAACTCCCTAGAGAATGCTTAGCATTTGTTCTCCTCTCCTTTTATTTCTTCAGGACAAAGGTTTCATTTCACAAAAATATTTGCAGTTTTATTTTTCCCCTCTGCCCACTTTTCTCAAAGATCTGGCCTTTCGAAAAATGCCCAGTGATGGAGAATATTCTAGAGTTGGAACAAAGGTAGGCCATTTTTCCAATACTATCCCTTTGGAGAGTCCTTTCTCTTAATGTTATGCCACAAGATACTTTAATACCCACAGAAGTAGAGAACTGCTTTTCTATAAAATCTGGATCACATTGAGTTCAATGGCATCTGTATAAGATGAAATTTGTAATGTGTTCATCCACCCATGCCTGTGATGCAAATTAACATTTTTCCTGTGTTACAGAGCAAAAGTAAGCCAAAAAAAGATTGGTTTTACTTGGCTTTGCTGTTATTTAAGAAGACAGCAGCCTCCAGAGAGTAATTAATCCCATCCCAATGTGAATTCCCTTGCAGAAGTTTCTGTTTATCTCTTTTCCCTGATATGTGCAAAATT